ATTCTCCTCCGCTCTTGCTTGGCGGTAATGCCATTGCATACATTGCCAATATTCGAGCTACTGTCCGTGTCATTTGCATGGCGTTAACTGGGACTGGCGAGGAACTATCTTCTGAACCGCCTTCTCCGTCGGAACCTGAATTCTTCAGCTTTGACGGCGATCAACATTCTCCTAGTGAGAAGTCAAATAGCAATCCTACAGCAAACAATACCATGGACGGCGCAGGTGATGCAGTCCGCCGCCGTCCCTCAGCAACGGATATTAGCAAAGTGATGTCTGGCGTTTCCTCTGCCTCCATTGTTGGAGCTGCTTCTTCCGCAGAAGCCCTCAAAGAGGATGTCAAGATTACATTTGCACTAGTATCGTCTGTTGAATGGGTGGAGCTTGGGTCTCAGATTCTTGTTATGCCTGGTGTCTCCACAGTGTCTGCCGCGTCTCAATCTGGGGCTACGGTAGCATCTGCACCTGGTTCTAGCTCTGTTTCTGGGACGGCATACATGTCAGGGTTAGAAGGGTTTGTGGGGACCGTCTGCGAGGTTGTTTCTGGGAGAGTTTCAGTTACGGAGAGCTAAGCTGAAATCCTGCAAATACCTCACAGCAATTTATGGCATACTTCTTTTTATCATTTGTGAGCGTCTTTCTGAGCCAGCCATCTAGATGTCTGCTTTCGGTGTTCATAGCAGGGTGGTTTTTTGTTGTTTCTATTCTCATCTTTGTCAATATCTGGACTGAGCGCTCACTAGCTGTCAAATAGGACAAATCTACAGAAATTCAAGGCTGAAGGGTGCAATATCATTGTCATAAGAAAGCGTTGTCGTAGCAATTGACTAGGATACTATGGATTGTCTCGTATTCTCGACTTGAGCGCACCGACCCGCCCAGAAGCAAGATACAAGGCAAATCGGTTGGTAGCAACGCAAACGGTCCAACTTGATGGCAAGCAGAGCCCGCGGAAAGCTCGTCCTCAGCATATAGTTTCTTAATAAGGCAGGCCATCCCCCAAACACAAGCGTTCAAGAACGTGCAGTGTTCCGTCGGATCCGCTTTCGGATCATCTCTATCCCCGTTGCAATATCTTTTTTTCGCTTGGGTATCTCCATCAACTTTGTTGATCAAGCGCCACCGAGACGCTCAGATCGACGCCAGACCTGTCCACAATTTCATCGGAGGACTGCGTCTCTGGTATTTGCATGATTGGGCACATTATCCACCTTTGCGCTGGTCGTTAGGAACACTCGGGTGGCGTGAGAAGGTGCTAGTCGAACCGATGGTGGCACTGGCATTGCGAAGTTCAATCTTCTTGCGCTCCATCTCGAGCTATATTCCACAGTATTAGGTCCGTTTGCTTTGTGATTGATAACTGAAGATAAATAAACAACTTACCACCTTGCGCACTCGAGCAAGAGCAGCCGTATCACCCTCCACAATCGAGCGACAGTCGTCCACGCGGTAAGGAGGAGCAATTGTCACGGCATCGGCGACGATAATGTTGTGGCCGTTCCACCGCGCGGGCATAGTGCGGCTGAAAGCATCAAATAGGTCCTGGGCCTGTGTAGTGACGCCCTTACCGCGACGCGCCTCGCGGTCAAGCGCTTCACCAATAGCCTTCGACTCGCGGGCCCTGAGCGCACGGGTATCGAGTGCCTGAATCGTGGGTTGTGCGTCTGTGAACGAGGACGAGCTGGAGTTCGAGGGCGGGGCGAGGGCAAGAATCTGGAAGTTCTGGATGCGCGAGATGGGGATCACACGGTAGTCGCCGTTCTGCGCCTGTTTGGCATCACCGGGGTTGGGTGCGGGGGCCGTGTTGATGGCCACGAGGTTGGTGATTGGGCATGCTGTGAAGATTGTACCTTCGAAAGTCGATTGGAGTGGCTGCGCGGTCGTGATACGAACGCTAAAACACGAGAACGGAATGGGTCAGCGCCTGCGACTTTGTGTACACCATCGTTGGCGGATAAGACTCACCGGGCACCGATCGCCCCGCTCAGTGCTGCCTCCAAGGGCACTATGGGTGTCGCCATCCCGGGGCTTACTGCGTTACCAGATTGTTTCTGCGCAGAGGCCTTTACTGAAACCTGGCGCTTGTTCTCCGCCATAGACCTATAGCTCTAGCCTCCACGTATGAGCTGCTCGGCGACCACGATAGGATGATCCCCTCCAGACGAAAGAGAATCCCGTTGACTGTTGATAGCGCAGTAGTCAAGTCCTATACGACGGGTCAGGACATTGGAAGCAGATCGGCACAAGTTGAAGTCGGCTTGCCCTGCAAGGAGCTATCGCACCCCGGATTGTTGGTCGAGGGTGGGCTGGACGCTGCTGTCAATCGGCTCCTCTGTTGAGAAACGAGCGTGGCTCAGGTGGAGCAGGCAAACAGGCACAACCCCAAAAGAAGAGAACAGAAAACAAGCACCACACCCAAACCAGGAATTTATGGGAGAACAATGGGCTTGAGGGCTTGCGATTAGATGGCAGGGTCGACGTTGCACGAATGCCCTTTTGGGTTTAGTGCTAACATTCGATTACTTCATCGTCGCCTCAGGCAACGATCTCTATAAAACAACATAAATCACGACGTTATTGAGTGATTCCATTGTCAATAGGTGTTGGAATAAAATTATTTCTTGGTGTAGGGTTGAAGAATATAATACATATGCCCTACTGACTGGTCAAAATCCAAATATACATATATACGCAGGCAATATGTTCTACTAGTGTCTTTAAATAAGTAGATATTGCCCCTCCAGCGGGGCTCGGTAGTGATATATCTATTGTTGAAGGTCACAAATTATACATAGAAAAATTTCTTCCACAAAGCATGCTTTTTTACTGCCTTCGCATACATCTAAAAAGGCATCTCCAAAGACCAACCAATGCGAAGGGGTAGAGCGGCCAACGGTCAACCTTGGAAATGTATGGTTTTGTAGAGTTTTAAGACGTCACAAGCAGCAGACTCATTAGGTTGAAGGATGACCTAGCGCCATAGTTACCGGCTCGGCTGGTTTAAAAAAATGGCAACCTGTGGGGTTCGACCCCATGCCTCTTTCGAGACCAGAATGGTGAAAGAGGAACTCTCTTGGAGTCTGGCCTTAGACCGAACTCGGCTGATTAAAAAAAATGTGAGCTGTGAGATTCACCCACGCCTTTTTCGAGACCAGAATGCACACGGAAACAGTAAAAGAGGAAATTCTCTTGATTCTGTGATATTATTAGTTTTAATTCAATCAAGAATCGAAGATTGGCCACTAACCTAGCGCCATAGACCGAACTGAGGTAGAATTATTCTTTTACTGCCTTTATATATATCCAAAAAAAACTATCGAGAGAGAGTATCAAAAAAGACCATCAAAAAAGATATCTAAAAGACCATCTAAAAGACCATCTGAAAAGACCATCTGAAAAGACCATCTAAAAAGACATCAAGGCCGCAAACACAGCCGACTATCTATACCAAACATTGCTGTACACGATATTTCTGTCAAATTATATAGGCGCGATGGCGTCTAGAACCTGCCGTACCTACCTCACTCCGGCCTCCGACCTTACTTAGGCTGTGACGAAGTGCGATAATAAAACCAACTCTCTTAACAGGGCTATTCGCTCACTAGAAACACGATGATGATGATGAATTCATTGACCCGATTTAGCTCGCTATTACATACATGCTGCTATGCGGGGGTTGCGTCCCAGAGCCCGCCCCCGATGACAAGAAGGTGTCCCCTTCTCTTTGCAAGCACCTTTCACCCTTTTCTTCTTCATCTCCCACTTGTTATCTCTCCCCTTTCTCCACCTAGCTCCCCGAGTCACCGAGTCCCTGCATCTATATGAGCGCTCGGTTTGAGAACTCATCACAAGGATCACAATCTGCTAGCAATCCAGTCAACACAACTGGACCAAACTATCCCACGTCCAAAATAAGGGGATCATACCCAGGCACCACAAGTCTAGAATTCATTCTCCTCTTACACACTCCAAAACCTACACCTCTACCACAATAGGACGAGGAACTTTGAGAGCTTTTCCAATTTCTTTTCTTAAAAAAACTCTTTTTCGTTTTCTTTATGGCCGATAGAAATCAAGGCCAGAACGGCGAGGGGGTAAACAACCCCCATAATACCCAGGCCCAACAGGGCCGTTCCCAATGGCACAATCGCTGTAGCTCTGCAAAGAGCTGTCGCCGTCGCCACCGCCAGTGGCAGCGGCGAGAGGAGTTCAGTACTATATAATAAGATGTAATATAATACTAATAAAATGTATTGGAGAAAATTGCTGCTCGTTCTAGAGCAGAGCTGCTCGATACTTTTATAGAAGTTGGTTACCCGCCTCCTACACTGGATTTCGTCCCTTCTACACCCCGAATCCTGCAATAAACCCTTCAATCGGTCCTTACATAGATCATTACCAGCCATAGTAGCTCGCGCTGAGCGCGACTCACAGCAATCACCCCAAACACAGCAACCACCTCAGGCAAAGCAACCACCTTGCTTTGCCTGGGGTGGTTGCTTTGTGTGGCAGCCTTGGATCTGGTCCCCAAACCAGATACTCGGGCTCAATTCTGCCAGCGATGGGATGCCACGACCACTCCAACAGTGCCTCCTCCTAGTGTCTTGCGGGAGTGCACCGCTTGCTCAGAAAGTCATACCGAGTTCAACATGATCCAAAACAGTTCGGCCAACTCGGCGGTGGCAGGATGAAGGAGACTACACTATCATGAAATCTCTCGAAGTCAGAGTTGTCAAAGGCATACTAAGGTGCAGTGTAGGGTGTCGGATAAAGAGCGGAGTCAGTGAGATATATAGTATATCGAATAGAGAGAGGCACTGACCAAGGCGTAGTGTCAGATTTCATAGTCTAGAACCTAGCTTCTACAACTCTCTACTTAAGGATCTCACGTTCACTATGCACTTCAACGAAGTCCTCTCTTGACAGGTTATGAGCCCGGGGAAGCTCTATTCAACCTTCCTCATCATCGTCAGCTTCATCCTCCATCGGCCTCTCCATCGATGCCGTCACCGTCATCGTTATCGACGCCATCCTCAGCATTAACATCGTTAACCGGCCAGGCCATACCCCTACCTATAAACGGTATCACATACAAACAATCTCATCAGTATGCCCTACCCAAGGGTTTACTCGCATAGAGTTTTCATCCTACACTTTTCATCCTATACAAACAATCTACTACCCACACAGCTAAGTGCCTCTCCTACAATACACCTTTTTATCTCCTACTAACACGGCCAAGTACCTCTCCTACGATATACAGCTTTATCAATTGCCTCTCTATTCGATATACCTTTCAAAATAGCTTCAACCACCAGCTTTGCAGAGCTAAAGCTCTTAGAGCTTACGTCTACCCTTATAGGCAAATCTAACTTTGCTTTATGGTCTACCGCACTTAAGTACGTACTCGATTACGAAATAACAATCTTAATTTTTACGTGATCTCACAGATACCCTCCTCTTATCACAAGACTTATTCGTTAACCTAGTAGCTAACAAAGAAGGGCACAGCGGTTCTGAGAAATAGCTATTATCGAAGAGAAACTATCTTCCCCTTGCTCTCTCTATGTAGGTTACAGGTAGGCTGACTACTATATGCAATACCTACTCTGCTGATCATAGAACGCAAGCCATTATGGAGAGCTAGAACATTGCTCAAAAACTGATAGAATCCATCAACTCGCTCATTAACACTACTGTTTCGTCCTTCGATGAGGCTACCTTCGATGAGGCTACCTTCGATGAGGCTACCTTCGATGAGGCTACCTTCGATGAGGCTACCTTCGATGAGGCTACCTTCGATGAGGCTACCTTCGATGAGGCTACCTTCGATGAGGCTACCTTCGATGAGGCTACCTTCGATGAGGCTACCTTCGATGAGGCTACCTTCGATGAGGCTACCTTCGATGAGGCTACCTTCGATGAGGCTACCTTCGATGAGGCTACCTTCGATGAGGCTACCTTCGATGAGGCTACCTTCGATGAGGCTACCTTCGATGAGGCTACCTTCGATGAGGCTACCTTCGATGAGGCTACCTTCGATGAGGCTACCTTCGATGAGGCTACCTTCGATGAGGCTACCTTCGATGAGGCTACCTTCGATGAGGCTACCTTCGATGAGGCTACCTTCGATGAGGCTACCTTCGATAATACATAACTCGCATCCCCATACGTTTACTACCGTCAATCAGGTAAATAACACCCGCGTCCCTTCCCTTTCCATCTGATACCTCTCTCTTCTTCTCTGTGAGATACCTCCCATCTTTCACATTATTATACTTCTTGTCAAGTGTCTCATCACATAGCCTTTATTATCCATTTCTCATCATCCGGTTCTATATCCCCTAATCAAGAAATTCGAATGTGGCACCAGTGACTTTGAGTTCCACTACCGAGAGGAGTATAACGCTCACATGGACTATTACGATCATTGGGTGGAGTGCGAGACCTGTGACCAGCAATTTCGGACCGAGGATAGCTGTGAGCAGCATATGGATAAGCCCAGCCAAGTAGGCTGGATGTAATTCTATCATCAATCAATCAATTAATCAATCGATCAATTAATCAATCAATCAATTAATCAATCAATCAAAGTTCAATTAACCTGTTGCAGTCTAACTAGTTGCGTATGACTATGTAGGCACTTCTTCCAACTGAAGCAAGAACTCGAGTCCAACGCCAAGTCCCAGAGGAGTGTATAGATGGTGATCAAAAAGAGCGTGGAATCAGCCCATTCCTGTAACCCGTAAATCCCGTAAATCCAAACCCATACTAAATCCCATACATAAGAAATTATTTAATGATTGCTGTGGAGTGCACCTTCTACCTTCTAACTCCTACTTTCTCGCTCTCACTTCTCACTCTCTGTATCCCCCTGCCTCAGTTTTAATTAGTGGTGGTGTTCTTGGTGGCCAGTTTATCGGCATGGTTGTTATCCCTGGCTGAGTTTCTCGTTCTATAGCTTTATTCTCGTCATTGGCTAATACCTATCGTCTTCTATACCTAGATCTACTGCCGTAAGGCCTACCGGTTCGTCGTCGTTATTGTCCTCGATCCTAATATATTGGAACTGCTGGAGGAGACCTATTTAGTGTATAAATTTGACCACGTAGCGGGTGGCCTGCGGGTTCGAAATGATCTTGTTGTAATCTATCTTGATACCGAGATCATATAACTAGTCCTATAATTTCGTGCGTGGGATAATATACCGCGGGCACTGTATTAGGATATGTTTAAGCGTCTGCGAGCCCTTATCGTATAAGCACCGGTTAGACTCTGCCGTATTAATCTTGAATAAGAAGTGTCGTAATCCGATCCGTATTGTACGTATCTAGATCAGGATTACACACTGCGGCTTTGTCAGTCCTTTGTATAGTCGGAGTATCTTCTTATTCAGCACTTATACTAAGCGTTTTGTCGGCGCAGAGGTTATCTCCCGCTCCTACTGCCACTCCTATCACTTTCTAATTCGCTAGCGTACTATTCTCTTAGTAGCTGCGGCGAGGTAGATAATCGGTTCTCCCGTCCTATTCCCAGTCGTAACTCCTATCCCCGCGCTAAAAAGCGCTGTACCTTACGCTTTACAGTCAGTATATTTATTACTGTCTACACTAAAGTATACGGGGATCTACCTGATAGTGATATCAGTTGGTTAGCTTTGTGACCGGATAGCTCGTACATGGTTATATATCAGTCTAATTACATACTGGCCGGATAGTCGCTGTAGGTTTTAGACTGCCTAGATGGCAGCCTGGCTATCAGAGAAAATAGTCACTTCTCGAACTGTTTGGTATCCTTTATTATCGGTCCTGATTTTTGCGAGTGCTATCTTAATACCGCTGAGCTCGGCAGCGTATACTATAGACTGGGAGTCTGTCCTAAGATACCTTCTTTGTGAGCTTATACCTTGTAAGAGGTTGACCATTGATGTGCCAATGTGTCCCGCGAGTCCGCTTCCATCTGTGAAGATCATGCTGGCCTCATTTGTGCACGCCGCACTATCATAAATGCTGTCGTGGGTTTTTATTGCAGCTTCCTGGTTCTTAATACAGTAAGGGATCGGTGCCTCCCATGGAGCTAGCACGAATGCTTGTTTTTCTTCCCATTTTTCTCCCATTTGTAGTCGTGTAATTCTATCATCATAAAAGGGGACCAAAAAATTATTGTATAAATAAATGGAGGGAGTTCAGGTAATTTCCGGTAGTTGAGAAATACGACGGTTCATAAATGTAGGACATTGCCCATATTAACGCTTAATTATACGTTATGATGATGCGGCATCTAACTGTAAGGTTGGTACTCCGTAGACCCCATCGCATGTAATTTGTTTACCGCCTATTATCGCCTTTCTCTCACCTGTAGGCTTTTTCGTGAAACTAGCTCTAATGGATCTAGAACGATTCAAAGGCGCGTGCCTAAGCTTAGGAAGGCTACTTACTGTGACAAGTTTGGCTTCGGCGGTGAGGTGAGCGGGATATAATTGGTTAGACTTTAGAGTATGTAGACTAGAGTAGTAAAGGGGAAGGGAAAGGGACGATGGTATAGTAGAAAGGATAGTAGGAAGGCTTTATCATTGGGAAATAACGGATTTATAGGATTTTTTACTCTATATAGGTACGAATACTGTCACATTTAGTGCTTATTTTCTGAGGCATTCATGTATTCGGCCACAGGTATGTTTAGTACTGAGTTTCTGCGTCTACCTAGGTAGAACCTGCCGTAATACACGGTAATTTTAGCACTCTCACGTGATAAGACAACCCTAATCATATCCATAAATATTTATGAGAGCGATAATTGACATTGGCTTCATAATCCAACGTATACCTAGGTTAAATAATTGAGACCGCTTTACTACCCAAGGTGCATGGGACCTTAAATCCTTATACACCTACTGTAGTTGAGTTTATATCCTATCTCTAGCCAAGACAGACCAGTCCATGATCAACTGGTTCTTAAGGACGAAACAGTGCGCGACACGATGTGCTCATGTCAAAAATGATGTAATCGTGTGATACGCGCTGGAGTGATATCGAGATATCTGCCCTAGTACGTTTCTGAATGGCACTTAGAACAAATCATAATTTGCAAAGAATGCAAGATAGAAAAGAAACCCTGGTGAGCTGTGCTGTGGGGAGAGAGAGGGAGGAGGTAATATTAACTATTAAAGAGGGGAACGCTTAAGGCTGTATGCTCTGAGGCATACGGGTCGATTCAGTAAGCGCAGTTCAGTTTCATACTCGACTCTGCCTACAAAGGATCGAGGACATGCAGCCCAAGAAGTCAATTCAGAGAGGTGTAGAGGTGTGTTTTATTCAATCTATCTCTTCCTACTACTTATATCCTCCAGCTCCCCAAGAATGGTCAGCTGCTTACGCGGCCTTGTGATATCTTTTTATATGTAGATAACGACAGTAAAAAAAAGTATGCTTTGTGTAAGAGACTTCCTATGTATAACTTTTGATGACCTTCATTGATTCTAAAGGAGGCAGATTTTCCACTTTCGTCTGTTTCAATTCCTCTTCGCAAGATGTGTTAATGAGCGAGTTGATAGATTCTATCAGTTTTTGAGCAATGTTCCAGCTCTCCACAATGGCTTGCGTTCTATGATCAGCAGAGTAGGTATTGTATATAGTGGTCAGCCTACCTGTAACCTATATAGAGAGAGTAAGGGGAAGATGGTTTCTCTTCGATGACAGCCATTTCTCGGAACCGCTGTGCCCTTCTTCGTTAGCTACTAGGTTGACGAATAAGTCTTATGATGAGAGGAGGGTGTCTGTGAGATCACGTAAAAATTGAGATTATTGTTTCGTAATCGAGTGCGTACTTGAGTGCGGTAGACCACAAAGCGAAGTTAGATTCGCCTATAAGGGTAGACGTGAGCTCTAAGAGCTTTGGCTCTGCGAAGCTAGTGGTTAAAGCTATTTTGAAAGGTGTGTCGAATAGAGAGGTACTTGGCTGCGTGGGTAGTAGATTATTTGTGTAGGATAAAAACTCTACACGAGTAAACCCTCGGGTAGGGTATGCTGATAAGATTATTTGTATGTGATACCGTTTATAGGTAGGGGTATGGCCTGGCCGGTTAACGATATTAATGCCGAGGATGGCGATAATGACGATGACGATGACGGTGTCGATGAAGAGGCCGATAGAGGATAAAGCTAACAATAATGAGGAAGGTTGAATAGAGCTTCCCGGGCTTATAATCTATTAAGAGAGGGCTTCGTCGAAGTGCATAGTGAATGTGAGATCCTTGAGTAGAGAGTTATAGAAGCTAAGCTACAGAGAGACTATGAAGTCTGATACCTCTTCTCTTTTACAAAATCTATGAAAAAAAAGCGAAACTGTTAATATAGGTAATGGTGACAATAATATAATTGTCAGATTTGATAGTCTCTCTGTAGCTTAGCTTCTACAACTCTCTACTCAAGGATCTCACATTCACTATGCACTTCGATATAGTCCTCTCCTGACAATAATGTTCTAATTCGTAAACTCATAAAAAAATGAATAATAAGAAAACCATCAAAAAGACAAAAAGACAAAAAGACAAATAACAAAAAAACAAAAGACAAAAAACAAAAAACAGCCCGCCGGCTACGGCCCCAGATCAACTATATAGTAAAAAAAGGTTAGCAACGGTCAGAGCCACACATAAAGAAGATACGTAGGCAGGATTAGGGCTAAGGTAGGATAGAGGGAGGGACAGGCAGGGTAGATATATAGGTACACATACTCTCGAAGTTGTCCTCTTGGGGGAGGGGGAGAGAGGCGTTGGTATTCTGCGGCGGACGCCGCATCTCATCTCCCACCGTGCTAGAGGTGGTTGGCTGAGCCATCCCAACAGGCGGCGCGTTAGCCTGCGCAGCCTCCTGTTGGGGCGGCTCGACGTTGCCGCCGGGGCGGAGAAGCGCGCCCGTCATCACGGGCTCGGGCTCGGGCTCGGGCTCAACCCAGCCATGGTCGAGGTCCATGGGGGCCTCGTGGAAAGCGCCGTGGCCTCCCCCTTGGCCGCGACCACCACGGGCCGCCGAGGGGAACTCTTGCTGAAGTCCATGTTAACTTATCTCTATCCGATAGAGAGACAGGGGTAATGTCTTACAGCGAGCTGACGCTCGACTCGAACCTCGATGGAATCATCGAGGAGCTCCGCTCGGAGCTGCTGCCGACGGGCAGCGATCTCATCCTGTTTATATTTTATTAGTATTGTATTATATCTTATCATATAGTAAGTAGTACTAACTTCCTCTTGCTGCTGCCGCCAGCAAATCCAAAGTTATACATAGAAAAGTCCATTTCATAAATTAAGCCTCTCTCCACCTTTTTCTACCGTTTATCTATACAACTGAGATGAGCAGCAAATTATATACAAAACAAAGACGTTAAAAAAGACAACAAAAAAGACAACAAAAAAGACAACAAAAAAGACAACAAAAAAGACAACAAAAAAGACAACAAAAAAGACAACAAAAAAGATATATCACAAGGTCGCAAACGCGGCCGACTATTCTTGTCCAATTAATTCAAGAAAAAGAAAAATATAAAAAGTTAAGATTCAACAGGTTGCCCTACATAAATAAATATTGGCTTCTTTTCTATGGAACGCCCCTCTATGTATGACCCACGGATTAAAAATGATAGAGCCAATTAGATTACGTATGTTGTAGGTAAAAAAACAAAAAGAAATGTGAGCTGTGGGATTCGAACCCGCGCCTCTTTCGAGACCAGAATACACACTGAAACAGTGCAAGAGGAAGTTCTCTTGAGTCTATGATATGATTAGTGGGGATTCAATTAAGAATTGAAGTGACAGTTGATGACTCACCTGGCGCCTTAGACCAACTCGGCCAAACTCACGATTGAGTGCTTTTGTTCAGTGTTTTGGGATACTTAAGGATGTCCTTTTTTCCTTCCATAAGTGAGGTGTTAAAAAAAGTATACTTTATATGATAAACTTTATAAGACTAGTTAGCTTTATATAGCCTTATAGTGTATTTTTGTTGAATATACTATGTATACTAAGTTATAAGTTCTTAGTAGGAAAAAGATAGTATTTAGATGAAATAAAATGTTAAAACTTCTAGTTTAAGCATATCTATATATAGGATCATTCTGACTACCACTGTTTGCTCCTACTCTTCTCTCTAATATACTCTTAATTATTATCTCCTTAGACTGGCTTGCTTTATCTTTAGAGGTATTTATTTAGATATAAATCCTAGATTTCTACTATTCATAATAACACCCTCTTTATATATATAATAAATATTTAAGAATTATGAAACTTAAAAAATATTTATTAATAGCTTTTTTATCATTCTATATCCTTAAGTACCTCAAAACACTGAACAAAAGCACTCAATCGTGAGTTTGGCCGAGTTGGTCTAAGGCGCCAGGTGAGTCATCAACTGTCACTTCAATTCTTAATTGAATCCCCACTAATCATATCATAGACTCAAGAGAACTTCCTCTTGCACTGTTTCAGTGTGTATTCTGGTCTCGAAAGAGGCGCGGGTTCGAATCCCACAGCTCACATTTTTTTTAATCAGCCGAGCTCGGCCAAACTCCAAGAGAGTTCCCTCTTTCGCTATTTACATTCTGATCTCGAAAGAGGCGGGGGTCGAGTCCCACAGGTTGCATGGTTTTTTTACCTCCACTGGTGAGTCGCGCTCAACGCGAGCGGCGCACTCCGATGGTACTATAACGTCATACTTGATCTTAACAAAGGTGGTCTATAAGGGCTTTTTAAGGCCGGTACTTCTTGGTGATATCTAGTATGTTTAGAGTGGTTGAAAAAAGTAATGACTTCTTCGCTGCGATATATATATTTTCAGCTTCTAGTAATATGACCTTTAATACCATGACTACAGCTTTTCGATTTTCTTTAGATTAACGCATAGTGTTTAAAAAGTCTTACTAATAGCAATATAATCAGAATAAAACCAATCAACAACGTTATTGTTGAGATATGAGTAAAGAATATATCGCATTTACTATATGGTATTTAAAAGGAGGAAGTTGTTGCAGGGATCTGCCGGTACGATGGAAGCGGTGAAGCGGTAGGACTTTCCGCTTAACGGAACGTCAACAAGCACAGTAACGGCTCGGTCTATTGATCCATCCCGGTCTCGTAGAGCTAGGTATCTTATACTCCGGACAGGGTGATCGATTCGATTCCCTCTTATCTTTCATCAAGTGCTAATTTTGGTATCACATACTGGAACTGCTGGAGGAGATCTATTCGGTGTATGAATTTTAAGCAATGTTCCAGCTCTCCATAATAGCCTGCGTTTTATGATCAGCAGAACCCGCATTACATATGGCGATCAGCCTATCTCTAGCCTGCCTAGAGAGAACAAGGAGAAGATAGTTTCTTTTCGATAATGACCATTCCTTCAAACTCACTATATACTTTTCGTTAGCCACCAGGTGATCGAACAAGTATTGTAACGTCTGTTTAGATAGATGCGAAGGCTGTAAAAGAAGTGACTAGAGCTCGGTTCATCGATGAACTCCCAAGATCAGCTCACTGAATGACCAAGAATATCATGTGACTTTAGAGCTCGGCTCACTTTGATATCAGATGTTGGGCGGTCGCCTCCTTGGTGTGTGCCGTTTGGCAGTAGTCCGGCAAAGGAAAGTGTGCTAGGAAAAGAAGGTGCGCATCAATTTCTCATACTCGAAGACCGGTGCCCAGTGATCAAGGGAAAACCCAGTGGAAGATGTAATTACTATTGCGGAGGAGTAAAAGAATATACAACCAGTGGGATTTACCCACGCCTTTTTCGACCAGGATGCTCACTGAAACAGTGAAGGAGGCGATTGTTAAGCCTACGTTAGTCAAAAATTATATATACATGGAAAAATCTCTTGCATAAAGTGTGCTTTTTTTTACCGCATTTCTATATAACTGATAAGACCTCTAGAACAACCATCTTAAAAAGACCAGCTAAAAATACACCAAAAGGCCGCAAATGTGGCCGACCATTCTTGTACTTGTGAATCGTAACATAAGATAATGAACAATGCTATCTGAAATTTAGCTGCTACAAAAGGTTATATGAGTAGATACTCTGCTTCAGATTAATCATGCTGTGCCCAGGACAACTTATACAAACGGGCTGTAAAAAGCCTTGATCTACACAAAAGACTGTTCTATAAGCCCATATGTCCTCTTTCCTTACTACATTTATGGACATTTCCTTCCCCCTCTCCCTTACGTAGTCATCTACTATAGATCTGTCCTCCCATAAACTTCGCAATTAACATGTCCAAGAACCTCCCTTCATTTCTCGATTTCTTAATTCCCCGTTGACACCAACATGCTCTTCATCAAAAGCATACCAAAATCCTTGATTCTAGATACAATAATTGCAACGAAGCAACACATCTTCTAGCCCACACACTTAGTATTGGTAAGCCAGTTATTAGAGCCTAGATAGGTCACTCTCGTTGACCTAATGCTCCATCTATGGAATGGGGAAGAATCAGACAGCCATTGGCTGGGATGCGGCAAGTCTCGAGCATGTAAGACCTCGACCATAGAATAATTGAACAGCTTTTTGACAACTGGCTTGTTGAAAATTGGTTTGATGATCACTAGCATCACTTTGTGGACCAACGGTGTACCTGCCGCAGGAATATCATCAACAGCCATTAATAACACGCTATTTCATGTAATCTGTCTCGTTTCCCTTCCTCTTCAGCCTAGAGCTTTGCAAGTTGATCTGACCGATTGCAATAACCCATCTCGCCCAGATCTCCTTTGTCAGTGCCGGATAGGTATAAATTGTCTTCTTCCGTCTTGGGCACTGCTAGATACTGTAGTTCAATCTGAAGGTAGGTCTGTCGAGCTAGCCAGAATGCTAATAAGACTCCCGGTAGTAAGTCTATCTAGTCTACCATATTCTGCATAGGAAGCTTTCTAGGGTGGAGCGCGCGAGTGCTGGGATTATCTCATTTTGAAGATGCTCCGCTGTATAGGTAAGGCCTTGAGCGGATAACGGTGGTAGGATGTTGAAGTGGTTTATCTACTAAAGTATCTTACTCGAGACCTTGAATTCTTTTTTAAAGTAATATATCTTATAAGCTAACTAGATACTATAGCCGATATTTATAGAGCTTTATACCGGATAGGTATAAATTGTCTTCTTCTATCTTAGATACTACTAGATACTATAGTTCGATCTAAAGGTAGGTCTGTCGAGCTAGCTAGAATACTAATAAGACTCCCGGTAGTAAGTCTATCTAGTCTACTATATTCTGTATAGGAAGCTTTCTAGGGTGGAGCGCGCGAGTGCTGGGATTATCTTATTTTGAAGATACTTCGCTGTATGGGTGAGGCCTCGAGCGGATAACGGTGGTAGGATGTTGAAGTGGTTTATCTGCTGAAGTATCTCGCTCGAGACCTTGAATTCCTTTTCAAAGTGACATGTCTTGCAAGCTGACCAGATACCATGGCTGATGTTTGCGGAGCTTCATCCGGAGGGAGAAATAATCGCGTGGGGCAAAGCCAGCCTCCGAGAAACGAAAGATGGGCTGGGTATGAAGGTATTACCACTCAATTCATTCACAAAGATAGTTTACCCGGTGATCTCAACAGCCAGTAAGGTGAGTGTATCGTTTTCTTTTCCCCCCATCCTCTGCAATGCCAAGAGCTTGAATCTCGTGGTAAAAGTGATTTTCAGCTTGGCAAAGCTGAACCGCCATAACTCGATTTTCGGGGTTTGGAAGACTAGAACCCTAGTGTAAGTTGTCCTGAAGGAAGATAAAGGAGTAATGTAGAATGAAGAAGTAGATCCTGTTAGGGGGAAGGGGTTATGTGTTTAATGCTAGGCAGGCACGTACGGCAGGTATCTATCTACCTATGGACCTCTACCTATGCATATTATGTACCTAGGTAGGCAGGTACGCAGGCAGTAAATGAGGTAATATTCAAGTATACAGCCCTGCGGTCCTAGGGTTACCTACATACCCCGGGCCTATATACCTCCTACAAACATACCCACCTAGGGGAAGTACTACCACAGTATTTTGTTAGAATACGTCTTCTTCGGAATACGGTAGTCTTTAAGAATACGGGCCGCACGTTATACGCGCCATATGTGAAGGACTCGGTGCCTCTCTTAATACTATACGCGATACCACTCGTTGACGGAGTTAGGATGGCATTTCTCTAAGTGTGCACTGTCTTACGCTGATGGTAGGTATATAGTTGCTTTGGCTTATTAGGAGTGTCCTTTGGCTTGTTGATATGGTTGCAGATTGTGTTTGTGTCGTAGAAGATGGGATCTGAA